CCAGCCCACCCTGCCAGGGGATATCCTGCCTGCACAAGGATCTCCAAGAAATTAATGACATGCAGTCCCACGCACAGGGTAGTGGAGCAAATACTGCAGCTCTCCCATCACCTGTTTTGGCCTTCCACAGTTACTTTCTGCTTTGGATCCCCAGACTATCCCAGGGGAGGGATGCTTGCATTGATATACCTTTGAATACTCAAGGATAAATCCCAGCTTAACCTTAAATCACTGAGTGATTTGGGGTGCATTCTGTAAAATCCTGACTCTTGCTGCCGAGGTCTCCAGGGAACGTTTGCTTTCCGTGTAACACCTGGAGCACCACGAGACTGCTAAGTGCTGCCACAGCAGTGACCGCAAGGTCTATGCCACACAGAGAGGCTGTGAGCAGTGGGGAGCTCAAAGCCCAGGCCTGGGACCGTGGATGTCTGGAAATGAAGACGGTTCCCAAGCCCTGAATCATTCTAACGTTTTATACTTGTTTGCCAAACCAGATAGGCCATGAAAGGAAAAGGAAAATAGGCAGCATCTGCAAAAACTCACACTAATAGGTTTTCTTTGGAAACTGAAGGACCGAGTGAAGAGCTCCTGGAAGGAGGAGGTGCCAGCAATGAGGTAACATGCTGCACCCCAGCACCAGTGTCCTCAGCTCTGGCTCAACCACGGCCAGGACACATCCTTGTGCATGGTCAGGGAGCTGCCATGATGAAACGAGCTCCTGAGGAGGCTGCAGGTGGGCATGGGGAAACCGGGAGGACCTGATCAGGGGAAGCTGCAGCGATGGCATCGTTCTCTTATCAGTCCTGTAGAGTGAACGTCCACTGAAGTTGAATCCTACTCACAGTTAAAAGAAAATAGTATTTCAAAGCCGACTCTTTCTTGGCAAAGACTCCAATATTATCTTTGCCTAAAGATGAAGAGTTCCCAAACAATTCCTCCACTGTACCAGATGTAAATAGGCTCTCATTCAAATTCAGGCCTATCTACTTCTTTGTAAATAAACCGCCATCTGACGGAAGGAAAAGACTATCCTTCCACAACTGTTTTTGTGGAAGAGAAGCAGCTGAATGAAGGGCTCTTCACCTTTTTAAATAAGGATCAGGGAAAAGAAGAGCTCACAGTAAATCGGAAGCTTTCTCAAACAAAGAGCTGGAGCAGGAGCTTCTCCCGTGGTAAGGGGAGAGAGGGGAGGCAATGCATAGGCAAGGAGAAATGAGAAACCAGAGTGCCTTAAAGAACAGAAAGAAAGAAAGATTAAAAAATGCTCGGGGTCACGTGCCTTGCTCCCTCGCCTGCTGGCACACCCCAAAAAAGAGTCACATTAAAGAACGGAGCATGGACCCTAAAAGCCAGCACCAGGGTAGAGCGTCCTCGTGAACTCCACTTACTCCCGGTTTCATCTGGCCTTTTTGTTTTGCCTCAGATATCACCTATTGCCGCAGCCAACATCAAACAATTTCTGGATAAGGAAATTGCTTTAAGCCACCGAGAGCGAATGGCCGAGCCGTGGCAATTGTCAGGAGCAGTTACAAATCCTGGTGCAACAGGGAGCACGCACCAAGGGCGACTTCTCCGAGCCTCCCGAAGCGATGAGCTACGGTCCCGCTGGACATCTCCCGCCCGCCGGGCAGCTGCAGGCTCCCCCAGCCCGAGGGAAATCTCAACTACCAACCTGGGGATGAAAGGCTTCGCATCCTGCCACCGACCCCCTGAGACGGGCCTTTTCCTACCACCAGAGACCCCTTTTTTCCCTGAAGATCACTTATTTCTCCTTACATAATTAAGTATTTATTGGATCCCATTTTCATTTCTCTTTTTCCCTCGTGGCATTCCCTCTGCACGCCATGATTTACCAGTCGGAAAAGAGAGAGAAATGCTCATAGTTAAGTTTCTCCTATTTCAAAAGTGATTATTTTTTATTTTTTATGCACAGCTTGTTTGTTTTTTCAAGGTTTTGGTGAGAAACCACCTCCTCCCTCCCATCAATCGTTGCTTTCAACAGCTCTTCACGGGTGGCTGCGTCTCTTTTAAATTCATTTCCTGTTAAAAAGAATAAACAGGCAACTGTTTAATGCTGTCGATTTAGCTTATTTAATAGAAATTGAAACCTGAATAGGGCTCAGTTTTAAGATAATCACTGCAGAACTCCCGAGCTAGGGAAAGTACCATATTAAGTAATTATTTCAAAATGCAGAATATTGTTTAGCAAGACTATGAGCTGTTCCTGCTTCCCAAGACAGGAGACATATTCGAGGAAGAGATGCTCATTTCCAAAAGGCAGCAGGTAGAGCTAAAGCCACTTAATGCGGACAGCCATTTAATTGGGAAATTTGGCTGGAAACCACTTTCATGTGGTGAACTTAATAGGCTTTAAAATAAGTTTTACTGGGACGCCTGCGTGACCTCATGGCTGACTGCAGCAAAGACAAGTGGATGCTGATTTCTTGAGATGCTTGTTTGCAAAAAAAATGGAAACTAAGTGCACGCCTAATTTTCTCCTCTGAGGTTTCAACTCACCAAGTCAGCATGCGCTGCAGTATATTTGGCTTTATACAAGCGAAAGTTTCAAAGACCTTTAGTAGAACCAGTAGCTCCCACATTAAAGCCTCTGCTTCTCTCTTAGACAAGACAAAACTTGTGCGCGTTACTTTGCTGGTAGGCACACTGGGAGAATCCGCCCCTCTGACTAAGCTTTTTGGGCAGCAAACGCATTTTAATCACATATGTAAATCCATGTTTAGGTGTGTAAGCTTACAGCAGTCTAAATGCTAATCAGAGCGAGCAAAGGGGCCGGTAATCCCCCAGGAATGCAGGATTCAGCCCAACAAGTGGTAATTGCCGCATTCCAAGTGGATTAGAAGCATGAAACTTCATTTTACCTGTTTCTGACAATATAGCTCAGGAACAGGTGCCATGAAAGTAACAGAGAAAACGGTTTAATTACCAACGTAGAGGCCAGGCTCAGCGCTGGCACAGAAAGCGTAAGCTTCGCTTTGAGCAATAAGATGACTCAACGTCCAGGACGGTGGCAGTCGCCCCAAGTTTTACCTCTGCTAGCTCTGGAGCTGCTGCTTTCCAACAGAGGGTGGGACACCTGAACCCTGGTTGATACAATCCAGGGTGGAGAGTATTTTGAAGAAAGCAGACACCAAAGGAGGCAGGCAGTCCGTGCTGCCCCCAGGCACTTTTCTCTGTTTCCTAGCTATGTCAATCAAACCAAGGCTTTGGAGAATGCCCATCTGGGGCATGTGCTACTGAAAAAAAGGAGCATTTGAACTACTAGCTGATAGCAAGCCTAAGCAAAATATGGGTTAAAAATCACCCTGGTCATAAGAAACCAGTCTACACAAAACCTCCCATCAGGAATAACAACAAAGAAGCTACTGGGGGCTATTTTTCAGCACAGATCAGGTACAATTTACTGTAAAATTACATTATCTTCAATATATCTTCTGTACCTTCCTCTGTCTAGGTTTTGGTTGGAGGCACACAGCTTTCCCTGCAATATATAGCAATCTATGGGCACTTCACCAGTTGAACCCTTGGGCTCAGAGTGGAGAGCAAAGACTATACCACTGATGATAATTTGCAAAAAATATTTCCACCACTTCAACGAAGTGTGACCCTGTCTTCTCCTGTGATCATGGGCTGGGTTCCTAGAGAAAAATCTACCCTGTAGGTTAGTAAAGGTTGCCTGCCAAGGATATCGTAAGAGGCCTGAATGAAGACTGCCTTCTCTCTGGCATTTCCTAAGCTTTGAGTGTTTGGCTTTGTGGCCTTAACTTGCTTTTTGTAGGCCACTTATTTATTTATTACTTTTTGAAAAACCAAACAAAGCTGCCAAACAAGTAAATAAACACGCAGGCATCCTGTTTGGGGGAACCACCACCCCCACTTCTCCGCAGCTTCGGGACGTCCCCAGTGCACTGCCCAGACCTGCGGACCTGCCATGGGCACCTGGATGAACCACTGCAGTGGGATAAGACATCTATTCTGTCAACGCCTTCTTTCAGCAATTTGCTGTGAATTGGGAATCCTCTGCTTAATGCCTACAGGCTTTTCTCCCTTTCCCACCAGCAAGCACAAGCCCTTTGGCTTCCGTCTTCTCCAATGTGTCCTTGATCACCAGAAAGTCCTGCTCCTTCCCTGGTGGGAAGGCAGACACGAAAGAGTCAACCTTGCCTTAAAGTATTCAGAACTACATATTCTCTTCATACTTAAGCACAGAAAACATATTTATGCATAAACATAAAGCATTATGAACACATGTTCATAAAAAACATTAACAAAATACAGACAAAAACGTTTGGAAAAACCATCTGAGGCAGAACTCCACTATGGGAAATCTCAGTCTAAATAGTTAATGGTTGGCAAAGTTATAAGCAAATGAAAAGAGTGGTTGACAAATTGCACAGTTAGTGTGGCTAACAGCATCAGAAGCATTTCAAAGACCAGACTGACTCAGGAGCTGCAGGCCACTGCCTTGCAATAAGGGCTAGAGGAAGCTAAGCTTAAATAATCGGTGGTGCATAATTTACGAAATGAAGGGGCATGAGAAATACATCCCTTTTTTCACAATATGCACCCTTTGGAGAGCTCCAAATCACACATAATTACCACCTGCAAATGTATTTCCCCCATCTATTAATTTAAAGCCCCAAAATTTCATAATAAAACACATCGAGGCAAACTGACTGCCTGATGCTTGTTAATTTTGAGTTCAAATCCTAAGATCCACCAGACAAAATGTCAAGCAGTTCATAAACTAACAGAACTCACATCTTGAAATATTTTTACCATGTGGAACGTTTTACTAGTACAAGAAATGAACACAGCATTCTCCAGAAATCACAGAACCACACGTAATTAAACGTCAAGGCAAACAGAGTTTATCTGAAATGCGCCCTCATCCCTTTGCTTGCTGATTGGCCAAGTCAAGAAGAAGAATTGAGATTTTTAAATCTGATTTCACATATTTGTATTTTTTTCTGCCCACTTACCTTTATCTAATTCACTTGAGATGTTCCATGATGATGTAGGCATGAAATCAGCAACAACTGATGAATTTGCTCCTGGAAAGGAAAAATAGGGAAAAAAAAGATGCTGTTAGTGTATCGATTCTGTATCATCAGGAGAGTAAGAGGCATTTATAAAGTCGCTGTCACAGTAATAAAGAAGAACAGCAGCTATTAAAATGCACTCGATGCTCTGTGTTGGCAGGCTGAGACATATGGGTAGCAGAACCAGCGAAGTGGAAAAAGGCACCGGGCCAGCGCTGGAGTTTGTTTTGCAATGCTGTCACTGTGAGGCCTTGTGTTAATTAAGCAACCAATCTTTGAGATGTATTTGGCCCACCTTAAAATCTTTCCACGAGTTTTATAGAGGTAGAATGACTCTGCAGTGCTACAGCTAAGAAAAACACAAACGCTATGAGGTTGCTGAACATGTTATCTATTAACATTTACAAGTGATTTTAATCCTGCAGATTAAAAGAAAGAGACACAGTTTATGCACTGAAGTTAATAGGGCTACTTGTATGAAAAATACTCCTACAACTCATGTAAACACAGGCTGGAAAGACTGATCTGATCATCAGTAGCATTTTCTCATTGCTAAGATACTTTTTTCCTTTTCAAGAAAAAGTTGAATGGTCACCTTAGTCTTCATTTATATTTTTACCTTTTTTTTAACATGCAAACAGTAAGTTGTACAGAGGATGCTGCTGAGGGAACTGCCAGCATACTTCCAGCCTCAGCTATAGGTCATGGCAAAACACCTCCCCGTATCTGAACATCGATGATTTCATCAAACACCCATATGAGGACTCTGATGTGTAACTGCTGCCGTAGCACTTGCCACATCGCAACAGGCTGCGGTGGCCGGGTACAGAATCCATGATGAGATGTTTGTTGGGCTCCCTGAGGGTCTCTGCAAAACCACGTTCAGCAGTGTAAACCCATCGTCACACGGCGGGGGGGAGTTACTGTCCCCTTGTGACAGCTGACCCACGTGCGCCTTATGAGGCTCTTCAGGCATCTGGGAAGGACTGCTTTTGGAGCGCAATCTCTCAGAGTCAACCCCCAGGGACATATATATACACACATATACACACACACACACACACACATACGAGTTTTAGTGAGTGATAGTGGGAAGGGTGGGAAGAAGGGGTGTGCACACACATTACATGGCATGGAAACACAGTGCACCTCCTAATTCCCTGTGTCCACCTCACCCCAGGGAACCTGACCTCGAAAAGGAGGAGAGCGATGCTGGACAGGAGTGCTACGGCACCGAAAGTGGGAGTGAATTTGAAATAAAGACAAGCAGTGCTAAATGTGTCAGCACCCGATCTGAGTGAGATGCTAAAAAGACTCACTACAAATTAACACCCTGTGGCCCGATCCTGCACCCTGGCTGGACCCCCAGTGCTGGGTGATTTCACTCGGTCCCATAGGTGCACAGCGAGGGCAGAGTCGGGATGCTGAGTGTCAGCAGGATCCCAGATGAGAACGGGAATATTTTGAAGCATATTATTTTTATTTTGACACCACCCCTTTAGCTTGCTCCCAGACATCTTTTAACTACAAAGCAATTTCACTCATAAAACTGTGGCAGTGCAAGGATATCCAAAGTCTGCATTTATTTGACCAGTTAGCAACTATTCTATTTCATTAAAAAATCACAAGAAAATTGTAAACACAAAGTCATACAAATGCATGAAGCTGTTAAGTTCAGATACAGCCACTACACTTTTTATAAATATCATCTTTCTTAAAAGCCCACCTGGTAGCACTGCTTATTTAAGACTCTGTCAAGTATTTCCAGTGTAAACACTGAATTTGAAGGCATTATAACTCACCCACGAATGCGGCCCCTGGCCTGCGCAGATACGCAGGGCAGAAACCCACTGACAGGGACAGATCCTGAGCCCATGTAAAATGGCATCGCTCTGAAGTCAGCAGTGACACCTGTTTACACAAGCTGAGATTTTGGCCCACTATGTCCATCCCTCCTCGTTCTTTACTTTTTAACAGCTGAGCTTCTTATCTAACCCAAATGTTAGGGATCACATGGCTGAAAGACCTGAAAGGTTTAAGGAAAACAAAATGGATCCAGTGCTAATATCACCTTCATGGTGACCACGATCATCCAAGCAGCAGGACGTTGTGGCTGACGGATTTGCTCTGAGGCTAAAGCTGAGATGTGGGGTAGGTGACAAATAACCAGCAGGCAAATGCTGACCAGGACCCGGCCGGTGTCAGACTGGTGCCAGAGTCTCCTACGCCTCCCCTGGGCCCTTGCCCTTCCATCCCTCCTACCCAAAAATGGGGCAGCTCCTGTAGACCTGTGATAAAACCCCTCCGAGAGAGGGATCCGAGGGGCTGTTGCCTCTCACACCTGCTGTTGAGACCAAACAGGTTCATCTCTTGTGGCCACAGGGCACCGCTCAAACCCACGGGCAATGGGTTATGTCATTCACACTGCTCACACATTCAGGTTTTGCACTCGACAATATATTTTCTGTAGGTAATTTTACTTTTCTTCACCTGGAAATATTCTAGTATTAAGAGCCTACAAATGAACCGTATTCTGCAAACAGCTAACACACATTAACCAAAATGAGAGCAAAAGTACTAATAACACTATGACAAAATATAATATTTTGCTATTTAAAGCTCCAGAGTGTTCCTATTAATGTTTTCTTAAACAGGCTTTGAAAACATGACCGTAAATCTCACAGAGCAGACATCCATCACCTGATCTACAGAAGAAACATTAGAAGACCAACTTCACTATTTTTGAGATAGTTCTCCAGGCTGGTAACTGGTAATTTTCTGATATTCCTGAATTAAAGCTCCAATCTGAGAGCAATGTATTACTGTGCCCTTAGTAAACATTTTATTTGACTGAAAGGAACATGCAGAGCAGTTACAAAGCTTGGGAACATACCATCAAGTCAAAGTTAATGCAGAAGATAAAAGCCCAGAAAGGAAGTCCACAAGACATGCATGAATTTAATTTCTAACTGCGATGACTTAGGATTGCTGTGCATGAAAGGGAGAGCAGTGATACCTCTCCTTGGAAAAACTACCTTATAACCTTCAGGCCAAATCTGAAGCACGCTCTGTCAGAAGGTGAGCTCCCAGCCAGCCCATGGAGACAGATGAGTCATGATGGATGGGAGAAGGATCAAAGCCTTGTCTGAGCGAACTCGTTCCTCCCCTGGAACCAAACCCACCTCCTGCTCCTGCCTGATTCGCTTCGCTCAGTAACTCTGCCTCCAGGAGGAAAACAGGTTTTAAAAAACAGACTGGGAATGAGTAGGACTTTTTTCCATCTCGGGACCCACCGTGTGCTAGTGAGTCAAAGAGCTGGAGCACCAAGAAGGTCACACCAAATGCAAGAAACCTACAGCTATTCCACCCACGACAGCTCGGAGGCCTGGAGGAGACCAGGGAGCGGCGCTCAGCATCCGTCGCTCCACTCGTCAATGGCCCATCCACCCACTTCACTCACACACCCGACCTTTAAACTCCCACCAACCGATTGCTCCCTTTATTCTGTAAATCCCATATATGGGATTTACACACAGCGATTTGCATTTGGGGCACTGAAACAGGTTTGCCATTTGCTGTCACCATTAAAAAGAAAAAAAACCTGCTTGATATTGCAACTGGATTTCAAATGAGGAGTTTAAAAATTAATCCTGAATTGTTAAAATTGCCATCTTATGCCCCGCTTTAACTATTTGATCAATAAGATCGTTTTGAAAAAAAGTCAACCTGAGAAATGTGATCAGCAGAGAGAACCATTATCCTGTTAAGATTTTATTTATAGATGAAATCATTCCAGATGAATGATGAATCTTATCCTTAATACTGGAAAGATAAGTATCTGTTCAAATCTCTACCACTATTAAGAAACGTTGGTCTTAAGTTAATGAGAAATCACAACAATCAATTATAACCCCTGTGAAAAGCCAAGTAAAGTGTATTCAAATACACTCCCCACAGAGAAGTTGGCTAACATCTGATTTTATTACCATATTGCATAGTGTAGAGTGAATTTCACACAAGTCAGTCCTTTTAAAGCCTTTGTGATTAAATAAACTTCAATAAGGTTTACAAAAATCTGCCTCTGAAGAAAAACTACAGAGCTAGTTCTTATCACAGGCACACACTACTGTCTCATTTTCTCACCAGAAGCAACCATTACTCACTGCTCCAGTGTTTGTACTGTCACGGTTACAGACCCATCAAAAGGATGGGGCAGCCTCATCCCCTGACCACAGAACCAAAAAGGAGAAGACCCAGGCCTCGCGCCCAGGCTAATTAATATCTCTGTGTGATGCATTTGTAATGTGAAGTAAAGAGAATATAAGTCAAAACAGGAAGAAGGCAGATAACTAAAATGACACCAAATCCAGAAATGATTGAAGATTTTAATGGGGAATAAATCTGCTATATAGAAACAAAGCAGAGAACAAAATAAGTCTAAGAATGTGGATACTCTTGCAAGGCCCTGCGAGCAATGCATGAGGTCTGTACGGCTGCTAAGCACAGGAACGTACACAGTGATGCCTGGGACAGGCTTTCTTCTCAGGTGCAGAGATGAAAATTGCAGGAACACCTCTTCTTAAGGTAGAAGGTATGTCTAGTTAAAACATGCAAACAAAATTTCAAAGTGTCTTCTTAATGGACATCCTCCGTCTTACTTTGTATCACACCAGTGGGTCATTCTGTACCCTAATTCTATACCCTCAAGATAAACTGGAGTAAGTAATTTTTTCTGATACAAATATGAACATGTAATGTATGCAATTCACATCTCACTGTAGAATACCCAAAATAGCAAAAAGAGCCAGGAGGTATTTAGAGTAACCAAGGAGTTAGAAGTCTGAGTAATAAGATAAACTATACAAAATGAATGTTTAAACTAAATAAAAAAAGAAGTTTTCCATTTGCCAATCTCTTTCTGAAGCTGCGTAGAAAGCCTATCCCAAGTGAGATTTGTTATCCTATGAAGGAATTTGCCTAAGGAAGTGATAAAACCCCAATTTCACGAGACATTAAAAACAAGATTGGGCAAGACATTACTACAGACACAAATGCGGAGCTATCCCACGCTGTCAGGAGGGTCAAGACAGGAGATTTGGGCACAAGTATTGTGGCCAAATCACCAATAAACATTTTATAGCAGCAGATCTACTAGAAACATCAATGCCCCTTAAAGAGGTGAATACAAATCTTCAGAAAATAGCTCTTCAGCTATCCTACTTGGATATAAAATTAGGAAAACAGGAATCATAGATAAAGTTATACAGACTGAGAGCAAAACCTAATTATACTAAGTGCTCAGTATTTTCTGCTTTTCTGCACATTCCAGACCGACGCTTCATCTTTCTCTCTGTCTAGTTCCTACCTGACTGATCTCTCCAGGATCTTCCCACAGATATGCCTCACGGCTGTTTTTCTTCTTAGTCGTATCTCCCTCATCTTCCTTCTTTGCCTTTTGCGTTTTCTGTTTCACTGATCCTTTGTAAGTTCCCCACACGTTTTCATCTGATCTCCCAAGATACTACGTTTTGCAATCAGCCAGTTACCAGCCTATCCACAGCCCACCCTGGAGGTGCTGAAGGAAATCTAGACATACTTTCTGCAGACTGTAATAGATATGACCTATTATTTACCAATTTTCTTGTCTGTTTAAAAATTGGCACCGTCCTGAAATTTCCATAATATATATACCTCAAATTTTGCTTATATCTTTAATGTGTGAAAGGATTTTATTTTCATGACATCAGTATCTCTGCGTGTCAGTAGACATGTCTGCATTATACAATTCTTGTGTTTTAAAA